AATGGTGAAAAAAGTATGGTTCTACATTTAGGCAAGAAAAACCAAATGCACAGCTATAGTAGAGGTGGTACTTTGCTCAAGAGCAGTAACTGTGTGAGGGGTCTCAGAGTCCTAGTGGACAATCACCTAAATATGAGCCAGCAGTGTGCTGCAGATGCCCCAACACAATGCTAGGCTGCATTAACAGAGGGATAGAATCAAGACCACATGAAGTGTTAATACCACTTTAAAATGCCTTGGTAAGGCCACACTTAAAATATTGCATCCATGATGTAAAAAAAATGTTGAGACTCTAGAAAGAGTACAGAGAAGAGCAACAAAGATGATTAGGGGACTGGAAGCTAAAACATATAAGAACAGGTTGCTAGAATTGGGTCTCTTCTAGTTTAATGAAGAGAAGGATGAGGGGTGACATGATAGCAGTGTTCCAATATCTCAGGGGTTGCCTGAAAAAAGAGGGAGTCAAGCTATTCTCCAAAGCACCTGAAAGCAAGACAAGAAGCAATGGATGTAAACTAACCAAAGAGAGAAGCAACCTAGAACTAAGGAGAAATTTCCTGACAGTTAGAATAATTAATTAGTGGCAAAACCTTCCTCCAGAATCTGTGAATGCTTCAACACTGGAATATTTAAAAAGGAACTGGACAGCCATTTGTCCGAAATGGTATAGGATTGGACTAGATAACCTCCAATGTCCCTTCCAACATCATTATTATTATTATTATTATTATTATTATTATTATTATTATTATTATTACTACTACTACTACTACTATTATTATTACTATTATTATTATTATTACAACTACTACTACTACTACTATTACTACTATCAGTGCTTTTTTTCTTAAAAAAAAGGTGCCGGAATTCCATTCTCGGCATTCTATGAGAAAAAAAGCCCTGATTACTATTACTATTACTATAATCTCTCCCTTTGTTGATTTGGAATTGTCATCTGACAATTTTTCAACTAAGAGGAGAAAATTTGATAAAAATATATTTCTTTACCAGTTTAATATTGGTGTAGACCGAAGCAGAATTGAACAGCTTCATTTTCATTAAGCCAAACCAAATTGAAAAAAACAAATTGAGATTTTCCCATTCCCTTCAAAGATTCATGATAACTTTCTGTGTCTTTTTTTTTCCTTTTTCATTTAGCTGCACCATTTTTTGCAACAAGTCTCCTTTAACAACAGTGCTGGAGAACAGGTTTCTTTTGGTCCCAATGGGCAATTGGAAACTGGATTTGATATTTTCAATTGGGTCACATTTCCAAACAAGTCCTTTATGAAAGTCCAAATTGGAAAGATTGACTCCACAGAACCCCCAGACAAGTTCCTGACCATTTCTGAAAAAGACGCCATTTGGCCTCTCAGATTTAACCAGGTTTGTCTCATTTTTCCCTGTTCCTGAAATTATCAGTCACTGATCCATTGAAGTAAATGATTAAACAACCACAATTACAGGAATACTTGGAGTAAGCAAGTGTTTAGCAATCTGTATGTTATTCATTATAAATAGTCCTTTATAATAATAATAATAATAATAATAATAATAATAATAATAATAATAATAGTAGTAGTAGTAAAGTTGGAAGGGATCTTGGAGGTCATCTAGTCCAACCCCCTGCTCGGGCAGGAAACTCTACACCATTTCGGACAAATGGCTGTCCAGTCTCTTCTTAAAAACTTCCAATGTTGGAGCATTTACTGCTTCTGGAGGCAGGCTGTTCCACTGATTAATTGTTCTCACTGTCAGGAAGTTTCTCCTTAGTTCTAGGTTGCTTCTCTCCTTGATTAGTTTCCACCCGTTGCTTCTTGTCCTGCCTTCAGGTGCTTTGAAAAATAGCTTGACTTAGCTTAACTTAACACAGTTCATTTAGTGATCGTTTGAAGTTACAATGACACTGAAAAAAATGATGTATGACCATTTTTCACACTTAGAACCAGTGCAGCATCCCCATGGTCCTGTGATCAAAATTCAGATGCTTGGCAACTGACTCATCTTTATGACAGTTGCACTGTCCCACCTTTTTGAGTTACTGGAAAGCCAGATTCACTTACTTTAGTGATTCACTCAACAACTGTGGTGAGAATGGTCATTGGTCATGGAGCATATTCACTTATCTCTGTCAGCAACAGAAACGTTGGGCTCAATTTTAGTTGTACATCAAAGACTACCTGTCTTATCGTTTATTTATTAAACGTATATGCTCTCCATCTCTAGGTGGTTTGTAATTGTAAAAACAACTTAATATATCAAAACATTAAATATTGACATTAAAATTGATTTACAATTGTCAAGAGAAGGAACGAAGCTAGATGTCCATGAGAAGGAGGTAGGATCATATCTTAGTCCATTAGTCCACTATCCACCCCTAGAATAATACATCCAATTGGAGCTCCAGACCAGTTGGAAAAACAAGGTCTTCAAGCCCTTTGAAATGCCCAAAGGAGTGAGTGGGTATTTTTTTTCTTTTGAATATGACATGAATACAAGCTACTAAACTCAAAGAAGTGTTTGTGTATGTGTGTGGGGGGGGGAGGTGTCCTTGTTGCTTCTTGAATTTGGTTGTTTTCATGTAGACATTTCATTACCCAAACTAAGTAACATCATTTATTTACCATTTACCTTATGATTTATCATGAAGTGTTGTATTTTATGAGTTTAAGATGAGACAAATTCCTTGTGTGTCCACTTGGCCAATAAAGAATTCTATTCTATTCTATTCTATTCTATTCTATTCTATTCTATTCTATTCTATTCTATTCTATTCTATTCTATTCTATTCTACTCTACTCTATTCTATTCTATTCTAATCGTCATTGTGATACCAAACTCAAAGAGCACCAAGGATCTTCATTTCCACCCAGAGCTATAAATATTCCTCTTTACTTGGATCAAAGAGGTGGCTTAGGATTTATATATATAAATATATAATTTCATTCCAATGCTAAGCTATCTTAGTACACATGATTTATTTCTAATTGCATTTGGAAAATAGTTAGAGATCTGTTTACTTTAAGATAAATAAACATTCATTGAAGTAGAATGGATTTTTTTAAAAGGCATGTATAAATTTTATGACTTCAACACTTTAGAATTAACTTTTTAATAACCTTTTCTGATTGCTGAAGAAGTTGGGACTTCCAGAGATGGTTAAATTAAATTCTTTGATCATAGAAAATACAGTTATATCTATAGTTATAGCCAACTGGATGTCAACACTGTAAACATTGGATGTTCCTGCTCTGACAACTGATGAAAATGCAGCCATTTTCTCTTTTCTTTTAATATGCTTTTTCTGGTATTTAGAAATCAGGTGCAGAAGGGGGGGTTAGGATGAAAGCTCGAGCTCAGCTAGCCATAATAGTAACACTTCTTTGTTGGAACTCAAGGATGAGCTGTTAATGTTTTGGCGGGCTGAGGAGCTGGGGAGAAAGCCCGCATTTTTGGATTTATGACAGCTTATTGTGGGTGGGAATTGCACTTTGTTACTTTGTATCTAGGGGAAGGGATTCAACTATGTAGAACCAATACTTTGTTTCCTGAATAAAATGTTCTTTAAGGAAGAATTTTTGCCTTGAAGTTCTTTTGATGGGTTTTATCTATCAGAATCATGACATTAACCCAAAAACTCACCTTTCTACTTTAACTACCTTGGGGTCCTGAGCTCCATTCACCTTCCCTAAGTTGGGGGATAGGATGACAAAGACTCGGGGAAGATCTCAGCATGGAGAAGGAAGAAGCACCTGTAACCAGCACTCCAGCCATGGCTGCTGCCTCAGTGTACGGAGCACAAGCCAGCACACCAGCAAAGAAACATTTGATGCCTTAAAGCAGGGGAAAGACCAAAGATGCGAGATGTGATCTGGTCATCAGAATGGACCCTGCCCAGTGGAGACTCCAAGCACCTTGAGGCAACCGTGCCAAAGGCAAATTCTTTAAAAGCATCTGAAGCCAACTTGCAGGCAGCAGCCTCTCCAGGATCATGCTCCCTGGACCGTAGGGGAGCCAAAAGATTGACGGCCAATGAGGACTCTGGAGAATGGAAGTACCTGTCCAAAATCCATAGCCAATTGTTGGTGGAGATGTTGGTGGAGAGATTCGAAGGGCTGGAGGTGAGAAGCAGGAACAACTTTCTCACTCTTCGCATGCCAGTGAACATGATGATCAGTGGGTCCAACACCACTCTGTGCCTACGAGAAACCCCAGCTCCACTGATAGAGCGCAGGTGATTTCTCCAGCCTCAAAGCTACCAGCATAGATTTTCAGCGCTGCAAGAAAGGAGAGTCCCAGCCGCTGCTCAAAACATGGCAGTCCGAGTTGTTGCCACTCTTCCAAGGCTCTCGAGCGCCAATCACGATGCAGAGCCCCAGCCATCCCTTGTTGGCATCGGTTGTCATGATTCCTCATCAGGCACCACCACCATGATGGTTCTAGGTGGCAGAATTACAATGACAGCCCTGATGGATGGCCCCACTACCAAAGCCCAAGCCAACACCGGGGCAGCCAAAGTCCAGATCGTCACCAGTATCATGAGAACCCTAGCCATCGCTACTATCAGTCACACAGTCCTGTGTATCACCATCAATGCCACCCAAGCTTAAGGCCTAAGCAGGGAGGAGACCCAGATGTGAGTATTCAACAAGGTTTAGTACAACAGCTGCATGACCTGTTGGCTGGGCAGCAAAAGGTTGGGGTGGCGCAACTATTGGGGGCCCTGTCGCAATTGGGGATGCCACAGCCACCACCACTGTGAGGTCAGCAGCCGGTGGGAGTGCAGCAGCAGTGGAGTTGGCAGCAGTCCCTGAATGTACAAAAACCACTGGGGGGCCTGCAGCAACTGCTGCTGCCAGGATGTCAGCAGCCATTGGGAGTGCAGCAGCAATGTGGGTGGCAACAGCTCCTGAATGTCTGCAGCAATTAGGGATGACACAGCCACTGTTGGAAGGTCAGCAGCCATTGGGAGGCCAACAACCACTGGGAATGCAATCGCAATGTGGAGGCAGCAGCCCATGATGGCACCGCCCCTTAGAGTGACTTTTGATGGCAATCCAGAGAAGTTGATTTTCTTCCTTAGTCAAGTACATTCCCACAGGAATCACAATGCCAATTTCTACCCAAATCTACCTGCTACGGTAGACATGTTTGTGGCCAATATGGAAGGGGAAGAGTCTGAGTGGCTAAACAATCGGTACAAAGAGCAAGCGCCTGAACTGGGGGATCTCCATCCCTTACTCCTTGTATTAAGAGCCAAGTTCGAGGGCCCATCCATAGCCCTCAAAATGGAGAAACAAATTCCCAAGATAATTCAAGTCGGTAAACGTGCATTGGAATACATATGAGAGATTTGCAAGATAGTAGGTTGGATAGAAAGGTGGCCTGAGCAGTCCCTAGTGCAGTGGTGGCAAACCAATGGCGCGTGTGCCACCGGAGCCCTCTCTATGGGCACGCACCATCGCTCCAGCACACGTGGTCTCTACAAGTTCGCCAACACTGGCTTAAGGCCAGAAAACCTGGAACTGCTGTTGGTGAGGTGCAACAGCAGCACATCTCCCCCCACACAGCAGTGCAGACATGCCTCATTTATAGGCAAGTAGGGCAGAGCTTTTTGGAGGAGGAGGAGGAGGAGGAGGAGGAGGAGGAGGAGGAGGAGGAGGAGCTCATCCCTCCATGATAAGCTGCAGCTGCACTTGGTGGGCAACCTGTAGGAGTCTGACCCCATCGTGCTGGTCATGTACTTGCGATTCACCCTGCTGTGCTTGATACTCCAGCGGCACCTCCAGCCACCGTCCTCCAGTGAGTCTTCTCCTTCCTGGCACTGGCTGAGGACAGGATGGTCTCAGCAGTGACAAACTTGGCTGTGTCCCAGCCGCAGGGGAGGTCACAGGAGAGGCAGCGCTGGCCAGCAATCATGGTCAGTGTGGGGTGGCAAGCCTGGTGGGCAGGCCTGGTGGGCACAGGTGGACGATATCCATCCAAAGCTCTGACTCATAGGAATGGATGGAAAATATCTGGCAGCAAGAAGGGAAATCGAAAGAGACGGTGGACAGGACCCTGCAAACAGAGTATGAAAGGACGCTGTGTGAGGGTTGGGTTGTGGCGGCGGGAGCAGAAGGCTCCATGCGAGGGTTGGGTTGGTGTGGTGGGAGAAGGGTGCTCTGCGAGGGTTGAGTCAGTGTCCTGGGAGCAGGATGCTCCGTGTGAGGGTTGGGTCAGAGCGGTGGTGGCAGTGGAGCGCTCCATTGGGGTGGGGAGGGGGAAAGTAGTGGCTGGCAGTAGGGCGTTTCTCATTCTCACTGCATTTTTTTTCTCCACTGGATGTTCACTGCCAGACTGTTTTGCTTGATGCGGCAGAATGGGAAGGATACACATTCTGCAGTAAATTTTAAAGAGAGTTTTAAAAATATGGCAGAGAAAATCCTGCCCCTTACATGGGATCATGGTTTTTTTTTTCTCTCCACTCCCTTTGGCTGTTCGCTGCCAGGCTGTCTGGGGGCAAAAAGCCAAGGAGATAGAAGAGAAGACTCCTTATGTGAGATTGGGGGGGGGGGGTTCTCAGCTCTCCAAAGCTTTTCACTGCCAGATTGTTTTGCTTGATGCAGCAGAATTGGAAGAATCCACATTCTGCAGTAAGTAAACTTTAAAGAGACTTTTTAATTCTCCCTCAAAAAGCAAAAAAAAAATTACAGTCTACAAAAATTAAAAATGGATATAATTTCCCTCCAAGAAACACATATTAAGAGACAACACTATAAGTTGTTAGAACAACCAAAAATTGGTAAACTTCACTTTGCATTAGCACTTCAAAAGAAAAGAGGAATAGCTTTATACATTAAAGAAAGGATGAATTCTAAACGAATTTCCGCAGATGAAGAGGGGAGAATATTAATGGTGGAAATAAAGATGGATCAAAAACAGATACTGATGGTAGCAATATATGTACCAAATGATAAACAAGAACAATTTTACCAAAAATTACATTAAAATATTAGATTTAAACTATCAAAATCTTTGTAGAATGGGAGACTTCAATGCAATAACAGATGGAACTTTGGACTATAAAAGTGCTAAACAAGGGAGGAAAGAGGAAATATATTACTTAAAGTGTTTTTAAAAATGGTAAAAAAACTCTGTATCCAAAATATATGGAGAGAAAAAAAATCCAAAGAAATTACAATATACATTTATTCAAATAGACATAAATCATGGTCTAGAATTGATATCATATGGACATTCTTGGAACTTAATATGATGATACAAAAAATTGAGATAGAAACTAATGTTTGGGCAGATCACAACCCAACAAAGATGACTTGGAGAGGAACCAAGAAAAAAATTAAGATGGTTCTTGAACAAATCTGCATTGAAAGAAAAAGAATTTATACAACTAGTGACAAAGGAAATGGATTTTTTCTTCAAAATAAATAAGAAAGAAAAGACATCGCTTCAAAATGTGTGGGATACGGCTAAAGCATATTTCAGAGGGTTGGCTATAGCCGAAAAGAATAAAGAAAAGAAACAACAACAGTTAAAGTTGAAGGAAGAATTCAGAAAGTTAGAATCAGAATTACAAATTGACCCACAAAAGAAAATACTTATGCAACAAATGGAGATAATAAAACACAAATGAAATTTAGCTGAGACAGAAATAATGGCTCAACAGATTAAAAGGGCTAAACAGAACTTTGTTTGAAAATGCCAACCAACTGGGGAGATGATTAGCACATAGATTGAAAAAAGAAAAAGAGAAAAAACTGATAAATAAACTGCAAGACTCAAAAAGTAAATTACAGTTTCAAAATGATACAATTAAAAAAAATATCAAAGACTATTATGAGATACTTTACAAGCAGAGGAAATTTCAAAAGAAAAAATACAGCAGTATTTTAAAAAAAAGCAAACTTACCAAAAATTTCAGAGAATATTCAAAATATATTAAATGGAAAAATGTCAATGATGGAGATTACAGAGGCTATAAAAAAGGCACAAAAAATGGTAAGACTCTAGGTCCAGATAGATTACCTGCAGAGCTTTATAAATCATTACAAGATATACTAAGTCCTATATTGAAAGAACTGTGATATGAAATACTTTTGGAGCTAAAATACCAAATACACTGAGCCAGTATTAACAATACCCAAAGAAGACTCTGATCTAATGCCAATAAAAACTATAGTCCAATATCGTTATTAAATGTAGATTATAAAATTTTCACCTCAATAATAGCAGAAAGATTAAAGAAACTTTTGACCAAATTTATACATACAGATCAAAATGGTTTTCTACCTAAAAGACAGATAAAAAATAATTTAAGAATGATTCTTGACATGTTAGAGTATTATGAAATTCATCCATGAAATTAATTCATGACTTTAATATTTCTTGATGCACAAAAATCGTTTGACAATGTAAACTGGCAATTTATGTTTCAGCAACTAGTGGAAATGGATTTTGGAGAAAACTTTATCAATGTAATTAAAACAATATATTGTAAACAAACAGCTAAAATAATTGTAAATGGAGATTTTACAGAAAACTTTAACATTAAAGAAGGCACAAGACAGGGATGCCCACTGTCTCCATTATTATTTATACTAACACTGGAAGTATTGACTAGAAACATCAGACAAGATATAGAAATTAAAGAACTGGAGATAAAAGGTGAAAAATATAAACTACAAGCATTTGCAGATGACTTGGTTTTTATATTGGAAGATCCACTTGAAACAAGCACTAAACGTATAGAGAAAATAGAAAAATTTGGAGAAGCAGTAGGGTTGAAAATAAACAGAGAAAAGACTAAAGTGCTAATAAAAAATTTAACAGAAAAACAAAAAAACCAACTAGCAAGAAAAACTAATCTTGAAATAGTTAAAAAAAGTTAAATACTTGGAAATTTATCTAAAACAAGATGTGTAACAATAAAAGAAGATAATTACATAAGAGTGCTAAAACAAATAAAATTGGATCTGGAAAAATGGAAAGACTTACAACTTTCAATGCTGGGGAGAATAGCAACAGTGAAAATGAATAGCTTACCAAAAATACTCTTTCTATTTCAAACAATCCCTATAAGACTGGGAAAAGCCTTTTTTATGAACTGAATATAACAATAATGAAATTTATCTGGCAAGGAAAAAAAACTAGAATTAGACTGAAAATGCTACAAGAAGTGAAAGAAAGTAGAATATTTGGACTGCCGGACTGGGTCTTATACTACCAAGCAACTACTTTAACATGGCTTAAAGAATGGATAATGCTTAAAGACAAAAGACTATTATATCTAGAGGAGCATGACCTAAAAATTGGTTGGCATGTCTTTCTGTGGTATGGGAAGAATAAAATATATAGATACTTTCAAAACTACTTTATAAGAATTGCACTTCTTTTAGAATGGGAAAAAATAAAAGCAAAAATTTATATCAAGATACCTGGATGGCTTTCAACAACGGAAATATTTGCTTACCCAAATTTAATTAATTATAACGAAGTTGTGACCTACAAAGATATCTTGGACAATGAAAGAAAATTGAAAGACAGATAAAATTTACAAGAATAAGGTATTGATCTATCATGGTGGCCACATTTGCAAATCCAAACGAGATATGAAAAAGATGTTAAAACAATGGGATTTTATAAAGAACAGACAAAATTTGACCATATACTGTTAAAAACAGATGAAAAGTTGATTAAGAAACTCTATAAATATCTATTAAGCTTAAAGATGGAGGAAGAACAAGTAAAAGAAACAATGATAATATAGGCAAAGAACTTTGGATATAATATAGAATTAGAAGATTGGCAAAAGTTATGGGAAAGAAATATTAAATTAACTAAAGCAGTAGCATATAAAGAAAACTTATATAAAATGTTTTACAGATGGCAGTGAGATTAGCAAAAATACTTCAAAATAGTGATGGAAATGCAAACAAAGACCAGATGTTTATTACCATATCTGGTGGACATGCCCTAAAGCAAAAAGATTTTGGTTAAAAATATATTTATTGTTGGAGAAAATGACTACAAAACAAATAGACTTTAAACCAGAATTATTTTTGTTAGGAATAATAGGAGCAAATTATGAGAAAGATTGTACAGTATATATTTAACTCTACATGTACTAATTGCAACAAGAATTGTATTTGCCCAACATTGGAAAAATGAAAATTTACCAACTGAAGAAGAATTAATTAAGAAAATTTCAGAGTGCAGAAATGGACAGATTGACTTTAAAGATAAAAGAGAAAAAAGACTTAGTGTATTTTAGAACAGGGCTTTTCAACCTTTTTACCCATTGTAACATTTTTAGGATATGGCAACATCCGAGTACCACCAATCGCCTAGCAAGGTATCAAAAACTTGATGACCAAAAAAAAAAAAAAAAAGGAAAAAAGTGATAAAGTACAGGTAGTCCTCAACTTACAACAGTTCATTTAGTGACTGTTTGAAGTTACAATGGAATTGAAAAAAGTGTTCTCAAAGCCACAGCTGAGCAAGACACCTGCCTGCCCGCCCACCTATCTGAGGTTTTCATTATTGTGAGCATTTCTGTTCAGGACTGACAGCGGGGGTCGGGTCGGGGGTGGTTGGTTTTTATTCCCCCCATCTGCTGGGTGGTTGCAGCAGGTTTTGGGCACTTCACATGACCCTGGGTCACTGTGACCATCATAAATATGAATCAGTTGCCAAGCATCTGAATGTAACCACAAGCCCTGGAGATGCTGCAACATTCCAGCTGATTAGTGCATCTTCTGGGCTCAGCAGAAGCGCCAGGATCAGTGCTGCTTTCCAATTGAGTGGTGCTTCTTCAGGGCTCAGCAGAAGCACCAGGATCAGCGCTGAGCTCCAGCTGGAGCCTGGTGCTGATTCTGGCACTTCCGCTGAGCCCTGACAGCCCTGCAGCTCCAGACATCTTTTGCTCAGGCTTGTGCGGTGCTGCCACTGGTTCAGCTCATTCCCCTCCCCCGCTACCACTTTTCTAGGATGCTCGCGTACCACCTGCCAGGTGCCAATGTACCACAGGTGGTACCCGTACTACTGGTTGAAAAGCCCTGTTTTAGAACATGGGATAATTTTTTATCAATGGCTAGAAAAACCAGTTAGAGAGAAAGGAATGTGATATGTAACTTTGAATATATATTAGCAAGAAGAAGACCATTGAGTGATTAATTAACATATTGTTTATGATAATTAACTGCTACTCATTGCTTTTTTAAAAAATACATGAATCCAGACATTATGCTGTTTGCTAAATATTGAGAATGTTATTTTAAAAAAACCTAACCCTAACCCTAATCCCAATCCCAATCCCGATCTCACCTTATTCCTAATCCTATAAAAAGTAATAAAATATATATGAGAATGCACGTTTTCTTTTTTAAAAAAAAAATAAAATAAAATTCTAAACTCTGCTGAAGGTGTTATCTAGCCTGGTAATGAAACAAACCTTCACTCTTCCTACATTCAAGTTACAGATATTCACCACTCTTGCAAATTATAAACTAATCAATGAGGAAAGGAATATGATGGAAAAATTCTTTCTTATGTGTTTCTACATTTGTAAGGCAGAATTTTACTTGTTATGTTTATTATTTTGTACAGGATTGTAACCCGACACTTGCATGTTAGGTGGTCCTATATTTTTTTCTGTGTTAAAGTAGTTATCCTTTTTATAGTACCGTATATGCCAGCGTATAAGACGACTTCAGGAAGCACTAAACTTAGCGCCAAAGATGGGGGTCGTCTTATACGCCGAGTCATCTTATACGCTGGAAATACTGGTAGTTTCCGGTGTATAAGACAACGTTCTAGGAAGGCAACTCGGTGATAAAGATGGGGGTCGTCTTATACGCCGGGTCACCTAATATGCCAGCATATACGGTACTCTTTTTATTGTAAAATCTGGTGAAAATCCATAATAAGGATATTTGATTTGATTTGACACGAACCAAAAAATGAGACCTCAAGCAGAGCATACTCTGAGGGATTGAGATTTAAAGATTTTCTCACATCAGCTTTTGCTACATTGCCTCAAACTGATTTTACAATACAGGGAATGATTAATTGATTAATGTAATAGGTATGAAATAAGAAGCAGTTGAGGATACAATCCTCAGGAATCAGGAAGAAAAGTGGAAAATTCAGTACCAATTTTTGAATTAGATATGAAGAGTTTGGGTGTGTACAATTGATGAAGAGAACAATTCTCCCAAAATAAATTATATGTGTGATTTTATTTCTGAACAGACAATACCTCTTTCCATCTGTAATAAGATGTGTCCTCTTGGCCATAGCAAGATAAAAGTGGAAGGAAAATTATCCTGCTGCTATGACTGTAAGCCATGTCCAGAAGGAAAGATAGCTGACCAATTGGGTAAGCAAAGGAATATATTAAATGTATCCATGATATAATAAATATAAATGGGGGCTGAATTTTTAATAAATATTATGGTGATTGATAATCTTGAGCTTCATATCATATTGATGTGAAGCAGTGAAATATTTTGGATTTTTTTTCATACTCCTTGGTGATAAAACCAATTAGTTCATTCTAACTTGCAGTATCAGTAAATTCGTCAGATTTAAATTATCTATTCTTATATTTCCTTGAAAAATTATAAAGTTTTTTTTTTCCCAAAAAGCTTTGTCCTTATTTTTTGGAAGTAAAAGTGATTTTGCATTGGTAACTTTTTCTACGGTTTTTACTTGTTTTCACGTCCTATGTTATCCAAATTATTGATTTATTAATTTGTTTTATATTTTATATATATATTTGTTTTATCATGAAAGGTAAAATACAAAACAGAAAAAAAAGCAGTACAAAAAAAAGAAAGAAAAAGGTGGTCCAAATACCAAATAAATTTAACATTTAATATTGAGAATCCACTCCAGCTGGGCACTGGAAAAAAAAACCCAGTAAAGTGATTGATTGATTGATTGATTGATTGATTGATTGATTCTGAAATTTATAATATTGTCTATCTCATATAATAAGCCTAAGAGCCTTCCCACAATCTTTATAAAACCAAAATAGTAATTAAAAAACTCACCCTTGCTACCAGTTGCCAGACAAATCATCCTCCTGTGTCAACCCCATCCTAGTCCAACACTTTTGAGCACCACAAGATTTCCCAGCCTGCTACAAGAATAAAAGTTTAGGGATGTCTCATAATTGAGGTTGATGGATGGTACAGACCAGATACAAATCTGAACTCCAAGCCAACAATATTTAACAGAAAAGATCTGGAGCATGCACATCTATTAGACTTATTGAAAAAAACAATTACCATTGAAGAGAGGTGATCTCACCTATAATTTGGCTCAGTAACATCCAGGGATTTAATGAATGATCAGGGATTTAACAATAACCAGAAACTTGAATTTTGTATGGTAAACCGTTAGGAGCCAGTATAGCAGGGACAGTATAGCAGGAATTAAGTGCAGACAAGTTGTGGTTTTGAAATGTCTTCAAGGGTATCATATAAAAGGATCCCATAAAAAAACTGGGAGCTCAATAAAAGTGCAGAATGTTGTAAAATCAGGACATACTGAAAATGAAATGAAGATGCTTTAAAACAATAATGTTTTCATGAATGTTCTCTTTTTCAGACTTAGATGACTGTTTCCCATGTCCAGAAGATCAATATCCAAACAAGGATAAGGATAGTTGCCTTCCAAAACGTATAGTTTATTTAACTTATCAAGAACCATTGGGGATTTCTTTGGCAGTGATTGCAGTCTTCTTCTCAATCATCTCAGCTGTGGTATTGTGGATCTTCATTAAATATCAGGACACACCTATCATTAAAGCCAATAATAGGAACCTCACTTATAGCCTTCTCATTGCTCTCCTCCTCTCTTTCCTTTGCACTTTGCTCTTCATTGGACAACCTGACCAAGCCAAATGTCTCTTGCGACAAACTGCTTTTGGCATTATCTTCTCAGTAGCTCTTTCTTGCATATTGGGGAAAACAATTATAGTGGTCCTTGCTTTCATGGCCACCAAGCCTGGCTCCAAAATTAGGAAATGGGTGGGGAAAAAGATGGCCACTGCTATTGTCCTATCTTGCTTCCTGACTCAATTCAACATCTGTATAGTGTGGCTGGCAATTTTTCCTCCCTTCCCAGATTCTGACATGCACTCCATGGCTGAAGAAATTGTCCTCCAATGTAATGAAGGTTCAACCACCATGTTTTATACAGTCCTGTCCTTTTTGGGGTTCTTGATTGCTGTCAGCTTCACGGTGGCTTTTCTAGCTAGGAATCTGCCTGACAGCTTTAATGAAGCCAAGTTTATCACTTTCAGCATGTTGGTCTTTTGCAGTGTTTGGGTGTCATTTGTTCCAACTTATCTGAGCACCAAGGGAAAATATATGGTGGCTATAGAGATCTTCTCCATTTTGGCTTCAGCAGCTGGATTGCTGGGTTGCATCTTTTCCCCCAAATGCTATATCATTATTCTGAGACCTGATCTGAACCAAAAGAAGCAATTAATGAAAAAATGAAACCGATTTTATCACAAAATCCTTTAAATAAAGCCAAATTGGATACTTTTACCATATATATATATATATTTTTCCCCAGCTTGAGATTCTGCACTCTTCCTTTTATTGTCACTTCAACATGACATGCAAACCAATTCACTGAGAAATTTATTTAACAACCTAGAGAACTGCTTGGCGTCCTTTCTTTAAAATATTAAATAATTATTCCGAACCGTAATCAGAATAGTAAGGGATAGCTAACCAAGAAAATATTAAAAACATTTTATTTATATAATGTGTATTAATGTAAAAATTAATGGATTTATAATCTGAAGCCTATGAGCTTCAAAATATCCTTGCCAAAAGAAAGAAAATGCCTACTTTATATCACCCATTACATTAAAGGCATCCCTGTTAAATGTGAAGCCAAACATTTGTCAACTTTCTGGGTGTTTCAAGATACTGTTAATAAAAAAATCTAAGGGATAACATGAGTGCCTAATTTGCCACTTCAAGGTCTCCAATATTCCCCTTAATCGTTTTTAAGGTACAGAAAAATTGAAATTAACATCTCTTTCCACATTTTGGAAAGTCTGAAAGCCACTTTGCTATAGCAGGGGAGGTGCTAGGCCAGAAACAAGGGGAATCAGTGTTCTTGTTCTCCATTAGTCATAAAAGCCTAGGAGATCTGTTGTTCTATAACTTGGGGAGAGGTATCTGAAGTTAATGATCTTGGAGATCTTCTTCTCAGCCTCCCTGAGAAAGTATCTTATTCAGGAAGACTACTGTCCCACCATTGGTGACTTCTTTACTTTTGATGTCACTGTTATTCCTGAACCTTGGATGGCATCTAATTCTCCCCTACTGAAATAAGTGCATAAAGAGGGCATTGATAATGCTTGGTGGGTGATAAGTTTTAGCTTGATGGTTAAGGCAATAATTGTAGACATCCAATTTCTCGTTGCGTTCATCTTTATCTATGTTTATTCATACACTATCATCTTCATAATCAGCCATCAGTCATGTCTGACCCTCAGCCACTCTATGGATCAGACCTCCTCAGTAAATAAATAAACAAGAAAACATTTTTGACTCATTTGTTCAAATGTGTTTTTTATGTATTTTAGGATTTGTGTGGAGAAGAGATAATACTTTACTTATTGATTTATGCAGAAATATTGAAAATTAAGATGGGTTCACACACATTTAAGTGTCAATGTATATTTCAGTGTACCAAGAATAATAGTATGCTGATGAATGAGTTAAAATAAGAGAATATATACACATGGCCTCATCAAGCTGCTATTGGAGTAGTCATAGCTGGCATGCCTTGGGTGGTACCACAAATGTTCTCCTGGCTGCTGCAGGATTTTGAGAAGCAGAGATAGCAGAAAGAATGTTCCAAAAATCCCCATCTGTAAGATGAGGAAGGATAAGTCCACTAGAACACGTTCAACCCCGATTTCTATATTCTTCAATGATGATGTCCTTCTGTAGCGTGAATAAATATTATTGCATTCAAGGTAGATTTTGCTTTATTTATTTGTTTGTTTCTTTGTTTGTTTGTATTTCACTCTTCTTCACTTCCCACCTCCCTCAGAGAGGTGTTCTGGGAACTCTACAATTTAATCAATTAAATTAAGCATTAAAAATAGAATAATTTAATATTTTCTTTAAAAAAGCAAAGTATTATGTAATGAACAAAATATTAAGTATTAAGCGAAATTGGTGAGCCAAATGACCTCTAAGATGTATTTCCATTCTTTTTTCCACTAGTGGAGTTTTATTTTCCTTTGTGCATATGAAGTCTTACTCCCCTATTTTCTACTTCATGTCTTATTTACAAAGGTACATCACAGTGCAGCAATGTCTATTGAGATATGATAAACATGTTTCATTCTGATATTTTTCAAACTAATGCTGCAAAGAATGGTACTCATTACAATCTAAGGATAGTTATTGTCCCTTCTTCTACAAATCTTAAGGGAATTCCAGCAGACAATGTTAAAAACTATGACCATGGATTAAAATATTGCATCCTATTAATATCTGCTTTGAAAAACAGAAGTGCATGTAGGGGGAGGAAAGAAGGACTTGTATTTCATCTGTGACCCTTTATTTTCTAGATAAAATTCATTATCTTAACGTTATATAATATTAAGGAATGGTCAGCTTTTCAGTTGAATGGTAACATAGGAGCTACTGTTTGATGTCTACCATATTATATTAAATTGGTTATATTCAGAATATTGGTTTTACTTTTTTTTCCAACTGTGATGAGCATTTCTCCTCCCTGCATGTGCAAACTTAGTAGTCCTCATCCAATTGTCCATAAATACTATGAGTCTGGAGATTTAATCATTGCTGCTATTATTTATCAGGTTCTCTTTCTTACAAATGAGATCACTTTTCAAAGCCCTCCTTTTTTTGATGTCCTTGATCAATACCTGTAAGTATCCTTCTACTTCTCCTCGTCCTCTCACCACACCTTCTCTCTCCCCTCATTGCCACTAAAAAGCTGTATTTTCTTTCACTTTTATGCTGAAACATTGTTTTCTTGTCAATTTCTTTGACTAGTTCCAGTGACCATATTTAATCATTTTTTAATTCTAGACCGCACAAATGCTTAATATTTTCTAATATTGATCTTGAAACTGAAATGAATATTATTAGATTTAACCATAATGTATGTGATTTTCATGATCCTCAAGATTTCCTTAGAAAATACAGATAAGATATAGAGAATAGTGAAATCAGATAGAAACATAGAAAATTAATAGCAGATTTTTTTTCTAATGATGAACATCTGTTTATCCCCACCATGATTAAACTGAGTTACTGATGATTGATTCACAGCTTCCTCTGGAAGTGGGTTCTGAGGTACTACTACTCTTTCTGTAAACTTAATACTTTCTAACAAGACGTTTTGAACTTCTCTTCTGTCAGAATATTAGGCCCCCATGCCTTTCTGTTTTAATTAATATTTAGAGTACTGCCTTCTAGAACTTTATTCACACTTGGAAGATAGTTAAAGATTTCAGTCATGTCCTTCCTTTCCTTCTTTCCTCTAGGCTGAATATATTCAGTTCCGCTTATATTTCCTGATATGTTTTGTCCTTCAAACCGTACACCATTTTTGTTGCCCTTTTCTGGACTTGCTGAATCTTATCAATATCTTTTTTTTAAGTTAGGTCATCAAAACTGTATACAGTATTTCAAATGGGGTCTGACTAAATACCTTAACTCAATGTTAAGTAGCCACAACTAGGTAGTGCTTCCTGATTGATACAATCTAGGCCTATTATTTGATAATGACCAAATTCCAGGTGTCCAGAACAAACAATTAGCACTAATTTATATCTTTGTGAATAAATATGTATCAATTAAAATAACTGTCCAATTCTGAAACAGAAATGTATTGACATGGCTTATAACTTGCCCTGAAGGTTCATCACTCATAATTACCAGCACACTTTGGCTCTGGCATTTGCTGTAAAGGAGATCAATGAAAATGGGCTGTTACCTAATGTTAGCCTTGGTTTTCACATTGCTACTGACAACCATGAGGAAATTACAACTTATCATTTGGCAATGGAATTTCTATCTACAAAAAGTAAATTTATACCCAACTACAAATGCAGTGACCTGACCAACACAGTAGCAGTCATTGGAGGAGCCCGTATTAACACCTGTGTCAACGTGGCAATCATTCTGTGCAACTACAAATTTCCCCAGGTGAGATACAAAATTGAGATACATCTCAATATGAGATGTTCACCAGCTATTTATTCTATTCAAAAATTCGGTCATTGAAAAGAAATATTTGAGCAAAACTATGAGTAAGTCATAAGACTTTCCCTTTTTACCTGATGAGCAAAACTACAGATGTCACATAAAATTAATTTTAAGCCCCCTACTTTTGTATCCCAGTTAAATACAGAGATTGGATTAAATTAACAGATATGGTTTGCTTTTTATTTTTATTTTCTTCAATGTGGAAGATACCCTTTATTCCTTTGTTCTTCTGACTTTCTCCATTTAGATCACTTATGGATCAGCTCCACTGATGAATCCTGAAACAGCAATATTTGTCAAATCAATGTTCCCAGATGACTCTCACCAATTCAAAGCAATACTGCACTTATTGTTGCATTTTGGATGGACCTGGGTTGGGTTAGTTTCAATGTATGACGAAGATAGAGACAGGTTCATTCAAAAGAGATTTTCCATATTTTCAGAGAGAGGAATCTGCTTTGACTTTATAGTATGTCTTCCCCAAATGATGTATGGTAATGAAGCTGGTGAGTTGGTAGAAAATACAGATAAAATATTCAGAGTGATAATGGAGAGTACAGTCATTGCAGTCATCTTAAGTGCTGAAATTACAGGCATAGTGCCTTTGAGACTAATGATCTATTTTTTTAATTATGATGATATTCCAAAGGAGAGAAAGGCCAAAGTTTGGATCATGACAGCCCAGATGGAATTCACCTCCATTCGGATGCAAAGACAGTTGCCCATTGATTTTCTCCATGGTGCTCTTTCATTTGCAATTCAGTCAAATGAGCTGACCGACTTTCAACAATTTATGCAGACGAGAAACCCAAACCTAGAAAAAGAAGATGGGTTTGTTAGGGATTTCTGGAAAGATGCATTTGAATGCTCATTCTCCAGTGATATTACAGATGGGAATGCTGAAAGGATCTGCACTGGAGAAGAGAAGCTGGAGACTCTTCCTAATGCTGTCTTTGAGACCACCATAGGTGGACATAGTTATAGCATCTACAATGCAGTCTATGCTGTGGCACATGCTCTAAAGGCCTTGCAGTCTTCCAAACATAAAAGGGGTCGAAAAATGGATGAGAGGAGATGGAGGCTCTTCCTCCAATCACCCTGGCAGGTAATGTTGGCTAATAGAAAATTTGGGGAAAACCATCATGTTCCAGCATAGGAGATCAGTTTTTTGTTTTACTTTGTTGTGTTGTTTTAACTGTTAGAATGCTTTGAAAGCTATATGGAAA